CTCACACCTATCACCAAGCCTCCAAGAATAGCTATTGGTGCCATGCCATGGATGAAGAATTTGCAGCTCTGAATGAACAGCGCACATGGGATTTGGTGCCCCTACCCAAGGGCCGAGATCCTATTGGTTGCAAGTGGGTGTATCGCATAAAACGGAATCCGGATGGCTCCGTCTCTCGGTACAAGGCTCGTCTAGTGGCCAAAGGGTACCATCAAGAGTATGGCATCGATTATAAAGAGACGTTCAGCCCGGTTGTCAAGCAGCAAACCATTCGTCTGGTACTCACTCTTGCTCTACACTATGATTGGCCTCTTCATCAGCTTGATGTTACCAATGCCTTTCTCCATGGTACACTCGATGAGGATATTTATATGTCTCAACCACCGGGCTACGTCAATCCCAATAGGCCTGAGTTTGTTTGCAAGCTGCGCAAATCTCTGTATGGCCTTAAACAGGCTCCTCGTGCTTGGTACACTTGTTTTGCTACTTTTTTGCAGGGACTTGGCTTCCAGTGTTGTCGTCATGACACCAGTCTGTTCACTTTTCACAGCTCCCGCGGCATGGTCATTGTTCTCCTATATGTTGATGACATCATTATTACAGGGAGCTCCTCTGACCTCATCTCTGCTGTTACTCAGGCTATGCATAAAAATTTTCGCCTCAAAGACTTGGGCCCCCTGGATTTCTTCCTTGGCATTGAGGTTCGTCGCTCTACGGATTCTATCTTGCTTCATCAGACAAAATACATATTTGATCTTCTTCAGCGGGCTGGCATGACTGATTGCAAACCCACTGTCACTCCGATGGCGGCGCGGCCAACCCAGGAGATCTCGTCCACCTTCTCCGACCCAAAATTGTTCCGTAGCCTTGTGGGTGGTCTACACTATCTTGCGGTGACTCGCCCTGATATTTAGTATGCTGTAAATCGAGTTTCTCAGACCATGCATAATCCTACAGAGAAGGATTACTTGGCCCTTAAACGTATACTTCGCTACTTGAAGGGTACTTCTTCTCATGGCCTTCTATTCAGAAAAGGCTCTCTTGATCTTGCTGTTTATTCTGACTCTGACTGGGCTAACGACAAAGATGATCGTCGTTCCACCACTGGGTATCTCCTTATGATGGGGCCAAATCTTATCTCATGGTGCACAAAAAAACAGACTCGCGTCTCGCGCTCCTCCACCGAAGCTGAGTATCGCGCTATGGCTGCGGGGGTGGCAGAGGCGATGTGGCTTCGTTATATTATGGATTCTCTGCATGTTCCGCCTACGAAACCTAAGATTTATTGTGATAATGAGTCCACAATCTGTGTCACCAAGAATCCCGTTCTCCATGATCGCATGAAGCATGTTGGCTCTGACTGTCACTTTGTTCGAGACGAGGTTATGGCTGGCACTATGACTACACATCATGTTCCTTCTTCTGAGCAGCTTGCTGACATCTTGACAAAACCGCTTCCGCCGACTCCGTTCCATTATTTGTGTTCCAAGCTGCCCCTCGTATCCGTTGATCAGCTTGCGGGGGGATAATAGGAAGACTCCTAATATTATTTAGTTTCCTTATTCTTGTATTACCATAATTACTTTATTCCTTTCCTACTAGGAATATGACTCTCTCTTGTAATCCCTATATATAGGAACATATCTCTCAATATTCAATAAGACAAATTATTATCAAATTGTATCACTCACATATCATAGTCAAAGTTTACAAACTTTGACTAAGAAAAGTCAAATGGGAAGAATATTTCCGGACGGAGGTAGTACTTTGTTAAACGCATTGACCCAGTGCCCGAAAATTGACCATTTGTTATTAGCTTTTACATTGAGCCATGAAATATTTATGAGCCTACGACAACCACTAATCTCAGTCGAACGATGTCCCCAATTCCTAGAGGAAGAAACACTTGATCGACCAGTAGAAGTATGCCTACATACTATGACATTTATTGAATGATCTTAGGGACTCAATCGACAAATCTTCTATGTCAGTCCAAAAAATGTGATGAAAAAATGTGACAACTCATACGCGTTATTGAATGCTCAAATGTGACAAATGTTCTATGACATTTATTGAATGCTCTTAGGGACTCAACCGACAAATCTTCTTTGTCGATTTTGGACCAACAAATCTTCTATGTGCTTGAAGAAATGTGATGAAAAAATAATGATTTAAATGGCAACTCACAAAATATACTATTTCTATATACTAGTATACTACTTTCTCGGTCTTAAAATTAACTTCTCATTTGACCTTTTACGATTTCCAATGTTACTCTTTGACAATTAATATCTCGATTTTTATATGAATATATATTATAAAAATAATATATTTCAAAACTATGTTTCAAAATGAATCTATTGATAATAAATTTATATGAAAATTTAATATATATTTTTCCATAACATACAGTCAACGTTTACAAAATTTGATTACAAAAATCAAATTAGAAAGTTAATTTAAAGACGGAGGTAGTATTTCAAAATACTGATCGTGGAACACAAGCGGCGGCGTTAGAGATTAGCAATTACAATAATTGGAGAGAATTTTGGGGGTAAATTTCACCAATGGTACTTGAACTTTAGTTGGAATTTCGAAGTCGTACCGAAATTTCAAATCATTTCACAAAAATCTCTGAACTTACATAATCCTTTCACTAAAGGGTAAATTTCAAACATGGTACCTCAACTTTCATGAAAATTTCGATTCAAATTAATTAATAAAATAAAATAAGTCAAACTAAGAGTAAGTGCAACATAAAAAAAGAACAACTTACAAAAAAACGAATCCAAATGTCAATTAGTTTTTTTATTTCATTTGATGAAAAAATAAAATATAGCACAAAAATAAAAAACAAAAAATGATCAAAAACAAACAAAAATAAGATAAAACAACATCAAAAAAATAAAAAAAGTAAAACAAACAAAAGAAATAAGAAAGTTCTTAAAAGAATAGATTTAAAAAACTTACAAAAAAAAGTTCACAAAAAAATTCTAAACAAACAAACAATTTAAAAATATCATGAAAAAAGATAAAAAAGACAAACAACAAAAAATAAAATAAGATCGAAAGTAAAACAAACAATAAAATAAAACATTTCTTAAGAGAATAGAAAAAAAAAAACTTACAAAAAAAGTTCACAAAAAACTGGTAAACAAACAAACAAATAATATAAAAGTATCAAGAAAGAAAGATTAAAAAAACAAAAAATTTAACAAAAAACAAACAAAATAGATCGAAAAACAAAAAACAAACAAAATAGATCGAAGTAACAAAAAAAAATGTGTAAAAGGAAAGAGAAAAAGGGAAAGTTCAAGAAAAGAGTGCAGGGGAATGCTGGAAAAAAAGAGGAAAGGAAGGGGGACAGGATGGGGGCTAGGAGGGGTAGGGGTGGGGTGAGGGGAGCTTTGAAAAAGAAGAATAAAGGGGGTGAAAGAAGAAGAAGAAAAAGAAAAAAGGTGAAAGAAGAAAAAGAGAAAGAAAGAAGGGGTGGGGGAGGGAAAAGAAGAAAAAGAAACGGAGTCAATTTAAAAATTATAAAATACGAAAAATTAAAATTTGGCCCAAATGACCTGCTGGTTACCTGAAAACCGGCTTCAGGTACCATTCGTGAAAGGTTTTCAAAGTTCAGAAATTTTTTTGAAAGATTTTAAATTTTAGGTACTGAATCAAAATTTTCATGAAAATTGAGATACCATTTTTGAAATTTACTCTTTCACTAAAATTGAAGTTAAGGAATTTTTGTGAAAGGATTTAGAATCTAGGTATCACTTCGAAATTCCAGCTAAAGTTTAGGTACCATTGGTGAAATTTATCCAGAATTTTGGGTATATTCCAAAGTAGCGGTTAAACTAAACCAAAATGTCTAGGTGCAATGCACCTGGCGGGAACATCCGCCAGCATTCATCAATGGCAGAAAAAAGTCCTCCGGTCATTATAATAATACGGAGTAGGTACAGAGTGTTATAATCTTCCGGTAGCTCGTCGATCGCTAGCTCATCAATGGCGGCGGAGATGGGGATGATAAAGTACGGTATCATCGGCGCCGGCATGATGGGAAGGGAGCATCTCATGAATCTTCACCACCTCCGCAACGACGGCGGCGCCGTGGCGGTTGTGTGCGTCGCAGACCCACACGTCCCTTCCCAACAACTCGCCCTCCACCTTGCACTCTCCTTCCAATGGTCTATCCAGGTATATATATATTCTTTAGAGAAATACAACAACAAAAAAAGATGAGCCCCAAGCCCCCAACCAGACTCCTTCGGACCCCGCCGGATGATCATTCTCTAGAGAAATACAGAACTAACACATGTTTAAGCCTTTTATATACTACTACCTCCTTTGGCCAAAAATCGTATGAAAAAAAACTAAAGTAGAATTGAATCATAGAGAATATATATCAAAATAGAAGATTCATATTTTTATTTGCAAAATATGAGTTAATTACAATGCATATACAATACCGGTCATGCCAAAAATATTGTGAAATGTCTAAATATAGTGTCAGATCATCACAGGTACAAACTCCTATTTTGACGAAAAAACATGAAAATCCTATTTTGGTTCTTTCTCTTTATGTTTTACTTCTATTTAGGTGATTTCGAAAATTTTATTCTCGTTCATATTTTTGTTGCCAATTTGATTGAAAGACATATATAGCCATGCCACATCTACTTTTGTAGATCTTTTGATGTCACTTTAAATATGTAATTTTTATTTTTTAATTCTATGCCATTTTTTAATAAAATAATTTAAAAATAACTTTAGTTAAACATCGTAACACTCAACAACAATTATATTAATACTCCTCCCTTTTCAAAAACACTTCATCTTTCATTTTTTTTCACTTCCAACAAAACACTTCCACTTTCTATTAAAAACTCTATTTTACCCTTACTTTTTCATACTCTACCTATCACATCATACTTTTTTTCTAATCATCTACCCATCACATCAAGAGTAAAATTGGAAGTCAACTACAATTTAACACTTCCTTATTTTTCTACTTTTTCAAAGTAGGAACTCTTTTTGATAACGAAGGGAGTATATTTTTTGGACGGAGAGAGTTAAATACTCCCTATGTTCTAAATAAATCTATTTAAATTAAATTAAAATATTAAAAATCTTCTCAAATGCCTTTTGATACATCTATCAAAAAAATAAAAAGTGTATATTTGTGGTTGACTTTCCATTTTATCTTTGATTTGATGAGTAAAAGTAAGATATGATGAATAGATTATTAGTGAAAAAATATGATGTGATAGGTAGGATTAGAAAAAGTTAAGATAGAAATGAGTTTTTAATAAAATGTGGAAGTGTTTTGGAGAAAAAAATGAGAGAAAAAATGTTTTAAATAACGGAGGGAATACGAATTAAAATATCACAACCATCCTCGCTTTATTTATTTATTACACCACACTCATCTCATTTAATAAGATTAACTTAATAAACTTGTATCTTTTTTTAACTTTCTTAAAGAAGTGTGAAAAATCAATTTGAGAATATCTTTTTTTTTACTCAAAAGAAGCTTAGGTCGTTAGAGTGTTGGGGTGTATTGTGTAAGCTCTTGTGTTCAAATTTCACCCTCACTAGTGTAACTTATAGCTAAAAACCCAAAAAAAAAACTCCCTTCGTCCCTAATTTGATTACAAATTGAGGTTTACGAAGAAAAATATTTCACTGGGACATTGGGACCCGAACGGACCGATCTGGTATTGTGGTTCGTTAGGTCTGCCAAATGCGCCAGGTTCGGTCCTGGCAATGTAAAAATGGGTTTCGCTACTGAACCGGACCGAAATACCTTCCGGTTCACGGTTTGATAAGCATAGTTATATTGATGTTTATTATGTGCCGCGACACGACATTATCACCGGGGGGGACGTACGGGGGAGAGGCAGGTGTTTTCCGGGCACAAGCAGCTACTGGACAGCGGGCTGTGCGACGTCGTGATCGTTTCGACCCCGAACATGACGCACCACGAGATCCTGATGGACATTCTCAGCCACCCAAAGCCCCACCACGTTCTGGTGGAGAAGCCGCTGTGCACGACGGTGGAGCAATGCAAGGAGGTCATGGAAGCGGCGGGCAGGAGGCAGACGAGGAGTCTGCCCGCGGGACAAGCGCGCGCCGGCGACGTGCTGGTCCGAGTGGGGCTGGAGTATAGGTACATGCCGCCGGTTGCAAAGCTGGTGGAGATTGTGGAGGGCGGATCTTTGGGGCAGGTCAAGATGGTGGCAATCCGCGAGCACCGTTTCCCTTTCCTTGTTAAGGTATTAAAAAGAGCATCTTCTTGATTTGATTGATATACTATTATTTCCATCATCTCCGATGGAGACAAAATTTCACCATTTTTTGACTTTGGGGTGTGACGGAATAAATCAAAATGAATCTCTAAACTGTCTGTGCTTCTTTAATTAATGAAGTAGCAGTTAGTTAAGCAATGTGACTTTTAACGTTGAGCCAGAGGTCTCTTTGGAAACATCCTTTCTACTTTCGAGTAGGGGTAAGGTCTGCGTACATACACCCTCCCCAGACCCTATTCTTGTGGGATTTAATTGGATTGTTGTTATTGTTGTTGTACTATTATTTCAATTTGACTTTTTGGTGTTAAATCAAATAAATTTCATCATCACTTATATGGAGTACTTATTTTGTCCAAAAATATTTTCAGACTTGATAGATACACTTATTTAAGTGTAGGAAAAAAGTATAATGCCTTACTTTAACTTTTAGAAAAATCAATAAAAAGTAGATGGATGGTAAAGTCGAAGAATAGATAAAAAAGTACTCCCTCCGTTCTTCAAAACGGTTCCTGTTTTGACTTTGTTGAAAAATAAGAAAAGTGTAATTTTAGTTGACTTTCCAATTTTTCCGCTGATGTGATGGGTAAAAGTAAGATGTGATAGTTTAGTTATTAGTGAAAAAGTATGATGTGATAGGTAGGGTATAAAAAAGTAGGGGTGAAAGTGGTTTTTTAATAGAAAAGGGAAGTGTTTTAAGAAAAACAAAAAAATGAAAGAGGAAAGGTTTTAAGAAACAGATGGAGTATATGGAGTATATGGATGGTAAAATGGAATGATATTATTGGCAATTACCTTTAAAAAGTTCATTGAAAAAGAAAATGAGAAGAATATTTCTAGATGAATTGGAAAAAAAGTGAGAAGAACATTTCCAAACGAAGGGAATAGAAAGCTTGCATTGGAGAGTAATACTCCTCCGTCCCTAAATCTCCTTATTTGAACTTTTGTTAAATTTAAGGAGGAGATATTTTTGTATTGATATTCCTAAATTATTTTTTTGATGTAGTGGGTAGAGTATGATGTGATCAGTAGATTATTAGCCGATAAGTATGATGTGATAGATAAGGTAATAATTAATAGAGATAAATTAATTTTTATAGAAATAATCCTAAATAGGACTAAAACATAGAGAATAATATCAAAATATGATTTTCATGTTTTTTTTCCGAATTTGGACTTCGCACTGTGGTAATGTGACACTGTACATGTGCACATTACTATACTTGTTTGGTAACATGACCATGTTTGGTAATTTAAGTCCGATTTCAGGAATAAAAACATGGAAGTCCTATTTTGGTATATATTCAATGTTTTAATTCTACTTTAGTCTTTCTCCCTAATTTTTAATAGGTAGGATTGGGACAAAGAAAAAAAAGAATGGAGAAAAACTTATAGGGACAGAGGGGAGTACAACAAAATAAACTTTTGATATACTTCATATTGTATAATTTTTTGTACTTTAATCTTGAATAGTTTTTAAAATGAAAATATTGTTGGGACGAACGAAAGTGGAAAGATTTTTTTAGGACAGATGCACTATACAAGATTTTGATTGAGTTGATTTTTAAAGAAGGACAACAAGAATAAGTCAATAATAGATATAATGATTAATACCAGGTAAACAATTGGAACCGGTTTAATGGCAACACAGGGGGCACACTGGTTGAGAAATGCTGCCACTTCTTTGATCTTATGAGGTTGTTTGCTGGTGCGAATCCTGTTCGTGTTATGGCTTCTGGGGCCATGGATGTGAACCACAAAGACGAGGTCTATGAAGACGACAAGGTATTACCATACCAAACCTGTATAGTTCTATCTTCTAAACTCCGAGTAAATCTCTCCACTCTGATCCGACCAGAACCCACCTTACACCCGCTAATTGCACCCCACAAAATTTAGTTAACAACAGTCAACTAAATCTTGTGGGGTATAATTGATGGGGGTGGGGGTCAATTCCTGTCAGGCCGAGGTGGGTGAGTTTAATCGAGGGAATCATCAATTTTGAACGGAATACTGTATGGACCCTGGATCATCTCATGACATTAATTTCCAATGTCATGAGAACCAAAAAGATTCTTCTTATGATGCGTTAATCTTGTTTGGTTTGGGTGTTGGGATTGGGATTAAGACGCATATAAATAATCCTGCGTTTTTCATCAGGTCCCAGATATAATAGATAATGCGTATGTCATTGTGGAGTTCGAGAACGGGTCGCGAGGAATGCTAGACCTTTGCATGTTTGCGGAAGGGAGCAAAAACGAACAAGAAATATCTGTTACGGGCGACGTTGGCAAGGTAATTCTTTATAATTGCAGTGGCCGTAACATTGAATTGGATACATTTGTTTTTGATCAAACATATATGTTAAGGGAACACCACACATATTGTATCATTTTTGGGGTTGATTCCCGTGATATTGTTTAGCAATGTCATGGGATGACCTGCGGATCATACGATGTTCCATTCGTAAAATTGATGGTTTCTACCTCTTCTAAACCCCAGTAAACTCCTCCACCCCGCCCCACCCGGATCATTTTTTATAAAGAAATCTCCCTAGAGGACTTAAAAACAATGAAAATACCAAAATAGGAGTCCTAAGTCTTTTAAGACCAAAATAGAAGTATAATGGCAGTGTGGTGTAAAAATACGCATTAGCAGTGTGATAGGAAAGTGATAAAAATGTAATAGGTATGTGTGATCAGTCAAGTGTCGGCGACCCGCGACGACACTCTCTAGTGGCCAGCGGCGACGGATGACAGTGTGACGGTGATAGTGTGTTAGTTACAATTTAACAATATGGTGAGTCTGACAGCGTAACAAAAGCAGTGTGAGCTCCTATTTTGATCTTAAAAGGCTTATGAATCCTATTTTAGTATTTACATATTTTTACTCCTATATAGAGAGCTCCCTTTTTATACTATTGCGTCTTCGCACTGTATGTGACGTGCTTCTAACTTTTCTAAGGTGAGCACACACTTTTATTTGTAGGGCGAAGCATTCATCCCTGAAAACATAGTCCGATGGGGTCTCCGTGAAGAGGGCCGTCTTGGTGTCAAAACCATAAACACTAAAGACGATCGAATAAAGTGAGTTTGTATTCTACTCCATACAAAGAGGAAAAAAAAAGAAGTGAACTGAAAGAGCAAAATTTCTCATTTCCTATAAATTGATTGGATTTGGTATAATAGGGTGCGAATTTAGCACCGCCCTTTATTATTCTACTTTCTGGATATTTTACTTTTATTTATGATGGTTTCTTTTTGTAATTATGTACCAAAAAAAGCATTAAATTTCAAAGAATCGAGTTAAGATCAGAACATGACGACTAATGAAGCCTCATATATATGCATGACTAAGGTATGAGGGGTTGCACCATGGGTCTAGCTATATGGAGCATCTTCACTTCTTGGCTGCAATAAGGGGAAGAGGAGGAAGAGCTCCGGCCGCGGGTTTATACGACGGAATGATTTCGGTTGCCATGGGAGTGGCTGCTCAGCTCTCAATTGAGAAGGGAAGATTTGTTCACATCAATGAGGTTCTCAATTGAATGGTTATATATGGCTATGGCTAAAAGTCCATATCCGTGCCCGTGGATCATAAACAAGGAATGTCTCTGTTTGTCTAGTGTCATCTATATATATGTGGATAGCTGTGAATATTGTATCCATGAGGAAGGACAAACATGTGGCTTTAATGGATTTATAGGGATTAATTGTTCAATTCCTTCCTATGTATTTGTGTGCTCGGAATTAGTTCTCTAGATGTCATTATTTAATCAAGGTATTATGAGCATGTACATTTCAGTTTTATATTTTACGAGTAGTTACTTAAACACTAGATATTTTGTGTCTGGATATCTGATTCGGTCAATAAATTACCACTACTCCTAGACTTTACTTTTACGAGACTAAACTAAGTTATTATTGTTGTTATATTACCACTACTCTAGTTTTTAGATGTTAGACTCTACTTTGAGTCTTTAAACATCATCTCTAATTAAAATTAAGTTGTAAATAGCACGACTTATTTGAATTATCTAAAACACCCTCTTCATAGAGTTTATTAGCATTAGTGACACTAGATTCGTACTGTTAATTTACATATATTTAGTCAATATTTGGAATAATAGAAAATGTTACAAAACCGGAAAGATTACATAAATTAATATTATTCTCCAAAAAGGGAATTCTATGCAGTAATGAGCAAGGTCGATATGAAGCGGAATCAGTTTTGGAACACTTCTTTATAAACTACATTCGTAAAGAAAGATACATTGCTAATATTTATCCTTCTAAATTTAGAACTTCATAACAAAAATCTAACATTCGTTATCATCATTATATGCATACAAACATTGAAGATATATCATAATCATAATAGACATACAAATAGTTAACATGTCGGATACATTACATATGAAAATCATTTCAATACTTTAATTGTGCAATAAATATAGTAACTTATAATATATAAAAATATATTATTTTTAATAGAATTTTATTAAAATACTTTTTTAAACATGTGAAATAAAATAACAAAAAAATGGACCTAGTTGACCGCTACCAACCCGATTAAATCTTTAATTGAATTTGAATTGAAAAAGTAAATATGTGAAATTGACCCGTCAAAATAAATCCAAACCCGAGTTAAATTGGATCAAAATTGAATATACTCAAACCCATCAACGCATTTAAGCCCCTTACAATTTTTTTTAAACTAAACCAACCCAACCCAATTGTATAAACCCAGCCCACTACAACCCTTCAACCCAGCTCACTAATAAAACCTAAACATATTTTTTACCCTAGCTACCCTTCCAAAACCAAAACCCGACTCTCTCTCTCTCTCTCGGTCGCTCCCTTTCCGCCGTCACGCTCCCTTTCCGCCGTCGCCCTCCGTTTCCGCCGTCACGCTCCCTTTCTGCCGCCGCCTGTCTCGCTCCCTCCTTCTCTGTCTCTACATCTCCTTTCGATGGATCTTCGTTTATGGATGTAAGATTCTTGTTTCGAACTTCATTTCTATGGATCTTTCTCTTTACCTTTATACGAATTCTTTCTATCTCACTTAACTCGTTGTATATATATGTCGATTTAGTTCATCCGATACACACACACACACACACACAATTTTCGGAATTGTATACACACACACACACATATATTATAGCCAGGGCCGTCTCCGAGAAATCAGGGACCCTGGACGTCACGGAGAAAATGGGTCATTGTGTCATAATAAAATAAAGTCTATCAATTAAATTTTTTAACAATAAAAAATATTATAGTAATAAGAATAATAAAATGTCAAATTCATAGTCTTATAAATTTATAATTCATAGTCTTAACCTGTTTTTTTATAAATATATATAATATATATAGAATATATACAAAAGAAGAAAAAAGTGGGGCCCCCTCCAAAATTGGGCCCTGTCCAGGTGGCCACCTTGCCCCTGGCTTGAGCCAGCCCTGATTATAGCTATATACGTAGCTATATATATCTATATAGTTATATATAATGTATGACCAAAATAAGGAAGATATGATGCAAAGTATATACATAAAATATAGAGAAAAGAAGTTCATTCTAATATATTTTTTTAAACAAATTCTTATAACATTTCAGTTTAATATGTCCCGTTATAATTTCAAAAAAATTTATTTGTCTATCAATACTTCTTTTTGATGTATGAATATGTATTTTTTTAACAAATTCTTATAATATTTTAGTTTAATATTTTTTTAACATATTAATATACATATACTTATTTTATATATTATATATTATATATTATATATAATTATTACTCCGTATTAACTTAATATATCATATAAAAGTCCCTACATCGGACGGAGTGTGTGTCTGAATATAGGGCTGTGTGATATGGAAGGACTGAAATCCGTTATGGTGAATTTTTAGGATTTTAATGTTTGATGCATCAAAGAAAATGAAAGTATCTTGGCGTGGCGTAATGGAATTAACCCCCGTTGTTGCAGCCATGACGATTTCATTTCTTATATTGTCTCAAACTTAAAACCGGATTTAAAAACTGAGCCTTTATTGTATATTATTATATGTATATATATAAACGTGGTGTATGGCATTATATATGCACGATTATATTTATACATAGTCTTGTGTGTGTGTGTATGTGTGTGTGTGTGTGTGTATATATATATATATATATATGCACGATTATATTTATAGATAGTCTCGTGTGTGTGTATATATATATATAACAGATAAGGTCCTAATTTATATATTTACAGATATATATATATATATATATATATATATATATATAATGTAAAGAAGGAAACATCATTGTCTTAAACTTGTCATTGATGTGGAAAGTTGGATGCTCAATGAGAAATAGAAATAAAGAATGAGAAATAAGAAAAGTGGGAACCTGAGGATTTGTGATGTTGGTGAATCAGAAAATGACCTATTATTTATACTATCACTATTTGTGAGATTGGTATGGGATATAATGGATGAATTTGACACAAAGTTATTTTTCATCTACTTTATAGAGCCACTCAATTTTTTTTCCAATGCAACTTTATGGAACCACTAAAATTGAATAGACATAAAGTTACTTTTTCATCTACTTTATGGAGCCAATTTTTTTCTCAATGCAACTTTATACAATTTTTTATCAAATCTACTTTATGGGGTAACTAAATTTTTGTTCCCCAATGCAACTTTATGGAAGAACTAAATTGAATAGACATAAAGCAATTGCATTGAGCCCAACACCACGCCAGGCCCAAACCCGAACCACAAAGCAGGCCCAAACCCGTCCACCAAGCCCCTCACTTTAGGCGGGAATGTTATTCACAAAATGCACCTAGCAATCTAGCATTGTATATAGTAGGATTTGACTTCAATAAATGACAAACTCATTAAAGTGATTTATTTAATACTCCGTATTTAGAATTCACTTCAAAAAACAAGATAGTTTCTAGAGTGGATAATTAAATCCGAATAGGGGGAGTATTAATTTGAATTTATACACAAACCAAACACTCTCCATTAATAGCATAATGCAATATCTATACGAAATACATGATGATTCGATCCTTGTTAAATATAAGCCATTTGCAACAAATAAATAAAATCTTTAACACTTCACCCAAATTATGTTGGTGGATCAAGATCACAAATGTCCAACTTTGACAATTGAAAACAAAAGATAAGATTAGATCAAGGGTTTTGATAAGCAAAACGACAAGCTGAAGACGTGTAAGAACAAATACAAAATAGATAAAGGATATGACAATCTATGTCAATATAGTTTGCCCTATAATGAAATATTAAATTAGTTGCAATGAATAAAGCAGATTGATTATTATAAAATAGACGGGGTGGTTGAACAAGTGGTGCCCCTAATGCAGAAATCGAGCCACATAACTATTGAATTTCTACACAAGCACTGGCCATAGCACCGTATTCAGTCTCAATGGATGACATAGAAACGATAGTCCATTTTTTAGGTTTCAACAAGACTAGCCCCAACAAAATAAAGTCTTCACTGTTGAGTAAGAAGACAACTCGCAAATCAAAGTCACAATAGGTAGATAACGACAGATTGTTGTCACTACATAAAAAGGATTCTTTGACCAGGATGTTTTTATGATACGAAAAGAGGTGCATAGTTGCAGTCAGATGATCAACATGTGGAACATGCATAAACTGAGATGAAGCATTCATAAAGTAAGACGAATCACGCATGGTACAACGATAGCATTCTAGACACTTTGTTTGAGTATAATGAATTAATTTAATTAATAAATATTTTCAAAATTGTTTGATTAACACTATTTCAAATAATTTAAGTTAGTTGACAATAACCCAAGTATAGTAACTTAAAAATATAATTACTTACCTATTTAAAGGTTTGAAAAGTTATTTTATCAACTTCAATACTTAGCATTAAAGGTTTGAAAAGTTATTTAATAATAGTTACTCCCTCCGTCCGGAAATATTCTTCCCGTGTTGACTTGACACGCTTATTAAGGAGTAGTAAAAAAAATGTCAAATTTCCAAAAATGCACATACTATAAACTTTTAAATCTCCTTTTCTTATTAAAAAAGCAATAAAAAAGTAGATTAGAGATAAAATAGAAGGGTATTATTGAAATTTATCTTTAAAAAGTATACTAAAAAGGAAATGGGAAGAATATTTCCTGACGGACCAAACAAGAAAGTGGGAAGAATATTTCCGGACGGAGGGAGTATTAACTTTGTTGGACATGAGTTCAAACCCCTTTTCTATTTCTTCTGGAATATTTTTTTTGTTTTGATGAATGACAAACAGGATGATTAATTTCAAGCTGATCGAAAATTTATTTTCGTATCGAGAAAAGCAAAGAAGGGTATCAAGAAGTTTACGGCGATATAAATCGACGACCACCCCTACGCAGATTTTTTTTTGAAGTGAAGTGAAGACTCCGAAGACTTTTTTTATTAAGTCTAGGAATATTTGTAAGGATGACAATATCTTCTGCACAAACAAATTAATTTCTGAGGGATAAAAATTATTATTTTTTGAGTCAGTTGAAAAATTACTTTTCCCCTGTTTAAAATATTTTACTGAGTCAGTTTCAAAATAAGTGTGTCAAAACTTCTTAAAAACATTTTTTTAAGATTACACAATTTTTTTTGGTAAGAAAAATATACTTTAAATATTTTTATTGTACATCGTTTGACACACAAAATATTTTTTGGACTCTTTTTCTCTCCTACTCAAATTCATTGAATCAGATTTGAGGAGCGTCCGTTGATATTCCCGTTGTCCAAAACAACGAGTTAGAAGCCAAAGGTTTCCAATCGCACTTGGCTTGGGCCCTTTATGTTTGCGCTTTATTTCCACTTTAATCGATTAATTTTTCTAAATTAATCGATTAGATCCAGTTCCGGATTTCTCAAGCCTTCATTATTAATCGATTTTTCTTATTCTTTTAATCGATTAGTTCTCACAGCGCACTCTAATCGATTTTTCCATCAAACTTAATCGATTAAGATTGCATTTCTCGCTGAAGACTTTTTTTTAATTAATCGATTAATCTTCTTCATTTAATCGATTAGTTTAGACAGCGCCATCTAATCGATTATTTTATCAAATTTAATCGATTAATTTTGCCCCTGCGCAGAAGACCCTTTCGCTTCTATACACCTTAATCGATTAAAAGCTTTACTTTAATCGATTAATATTGTCTGATGTCTATTCTCAATTTGCTCCAACGGATCTTTTATCCTCAGCCTATTTAATCCATCATTCTCCTTCATTTCTAACACATCTCTTGCACTCCAAAAATATTCCTTGAGCTATATTCATCCTTTGCTTCATCTTCCTCATCAAAATATTATTTTTTGAGAGTTAGAAATATTTTCTTTGAGTGCTTAAAGAAGTTGTCATCCATAGAGCTTTAATTCTTCAACACTACTTTGCTCAATTGTGTGAGCTTTCATTCTTGTGTTGTAAACTCAATCTCATTTGAGTGTTGTTCTTAAGACTTGTGTGACTCAAGTCTTGTTGTTGTAAGAAAGTGAGGCTTGTGTGATTCAAGTTCTCAAGTTGTACCGGTTTTTCAAGCACCCGTTGAAGCTTGAAGATTAGTAGGACTTTCGAGAGAGTCTCTCGGAGGACTGGATTAGCCACGAGGTGGTGAACCAGTATAAATCTCGGTGTTCTTCTTTCCCTTACTCTCTTTACTTATTCCTGCGATTCTATTATTTCACATACGCGAAAAGCGCACATTCTTGAAAACAACTCTATTCACCCCCTCTAGAGTTGCACATTTGTCTAACAAACTTTAGTACTTTTAAAGTAATCTGTAATCTCTCCATCTCTAACGTACAAGATTACATCTCTTTTAAATTAATTTTATTTATAAATTGGTATGTAAACAAATTGTACAATTTACATATTTAATAACTAAATAAAAATTCTACAAAACAAGCGTGACATGTCTATTATTTTTTATTAAATAATCAATGACTTTTGTGTGCATATACAAATAAAAGTGATCAAATAGTAAAGAGGACGATGATTTAGGGACGAAAAAAATATTTAAAAAGAGAGTAATGCTAGGGATTGGAAGGCCGGCCTAAGGGTCTAACATTTTCAATTTTTAATATATATATATATATATATATATATATACACACACACACATTATATTTTTTAATAATAAATTTAAAACTTAAAATTTTAAGGTAGGTATTACACTATTTAATTGTAATACCAACAAATTTTGTTTTGTGTCTTAGTGTAATATTAATTGATGCTTTAAAGAAAATCTTTATAGAATTTAATTTGTTAGGGTCAAGATCTATTTTTTTCGTCTCGTCGAGGGCATCGAATCCTCGAGGCGTGCCATGCGTGCTAGGGATACATCATTTTGTATCCAACTTTGCAACCATTTAATCTCTACAATTCATTTCTAATCTTATCATTATTCTTCTAGTTTTTATCCATCCCGTGAAAAATATACTCCGTATAATAAATACTGGATAGTGCGCAAAATAAATTTCAAAATAGCACTCGTATTTTTCAAAAAATCATCCAAAACTCTTTTTTTTTGAGTAAACACATTTCTCAGTAAATCTGATCGATCATAGATTAGTAGGATCCTAGTCTAACAAAAAAACACATTTCATCCTTTCTTACCAACCAATTCTAATTTGAATTTGGGATTTCCAAAGATAGTCTCATTGAAGTCCTCTACCTTTCCAATTTGGACCATGCTACACTTACACCAAAAAATATACCCCATTTGTACACCACAGGTTTGTACAAACATTTCGATTGTTTACTCCGACACAAGTGTTGGTGCGTTAATAAAAATTCATACGGACAAAAATGTTGGTGCATTTAACAAAAATTAATTTTACACCAACACAAAGTGTTAGTGCAAAACTGCGGGGTACAAATTGGGGTACAAACCTTGGGTACACATAACATAATCCTTCCAATTTACAAGGCAAATGCCTCATTCTTTAAATACGGAGTTCACGGAAATTGGCGCTCACATATAAACGTACTCCGGATAAGCTAGCGGGAACGATCGCTTTCATCCCTTCGCTATTGAAGTTTCAAGCTTGGCCGAGCAGAGTTAGCACCATCAATTTCATCATGGACGACGACAATGGAGAGAGATCAAGCTTCGTAATCGGCCTCATCGAGAACCGCGCCAAGGAGGTTTCATCTCTCTCCTTCTGATTTCACTGTATTATTAGGCATTTACACGAGCATCTGGTGAATATGCTCAATGGAGAAACTTCCATTTGTCGTTGATTTGAATTTTATTTTTTGCATCGATCAATTCATCTGTTTCATCGGTCTGTTCATGGAATCTCCGCTAAGAGCTTGCGTTGAGAGAAATTAAATGTTGATCGCCGAATGTGTGTGCGCGCGAATGAATTATGTTTGATCCGATTGTTGTTAATCATAATTTACACTAGATAGAGGAGTTATCTTCTTCTTCTTTTTTCAAATTGATTCCAGTTATTGACTTCTCGTGGTCAATATATATGTTGAACTTCCAGTTGTCTTAGTGAATACCAAATTATTGCAGGTTGGAGTAGCTGCCTTTGACCTGAGAACAGCTTCGCTGCATCTTTCTCAGTACATTGAGACTAGCAGCTCCTATCAGAATACTAAGACTCTGCTGGATTTCTATGAACCTATGGTAGTCATTGTTCCCCCAAATAGGTTGGCGGCTGATGGGATGGTTGGAGTCTCACAACTAGCTGACAGATTTTATTCCACGACAAGGAAGGCAAGTTCCTCGGCACATGATTCATACCTAGTTTTAGATATATTATGCCGTGCAAATAAAAATACATGCAAATTTGGGCTTCTGCAGGTCATAATGGCGCGGGGCTGCTTTGATGATACAAGGGTTGTTTATACAGTATCTTTACCCAATGTCTTACTGTCTTCATGCTATTTATAATGCTTGTTAGATGCCAACGTTTGTCTAAACTAATGATATTTTCAAGGGAGCTGCAATAATTAAAAACTTAGCTGCCAAGGAGCCGTCTGCACTTGGTTTGGACTCGTACTCTAAACAATACTATCTTTGCTTGGCTGCAGCAGCAGCAATTATTAAATGGTATTTTAACATTAATCATATTTTATATCATTTACTAGCTATGGTTGACAAAGAAATATGATCTTGTTTCTTGATCAAGCATTGATAGTTTCTGAGAGATTTTCAGTTACTTAGCCTGCAATCATTAATTATGAGTATTTTTATTAATAGGGCGTAAAACTTAACAAAGAAACTTAGTGGTGCATGTTCTTTTTCAATTTTATGTTTGGACAATGGATTTTCATTTATTATGAGTGTTGTCAAGCCTTGGTAAGTTGGTTGAATGATTGAGTTGCTCCTTTTGTGAATAAAAGGGCATGGATTTAAAACACCGCGTAAAAAACCTGTTGGGAACATTTGTCAGGAGAAGGTTTTGAACAGTTTCCGTCCCCCTACCCCCACAAGGCGGAGAGTGCCTGTCACAGTTTTTCATTATTTTCCTTTCTAATTTTTATTCAAGAGTCACTATATGTGGTATTGTAGTGTGAGGACTGAGGAGTAGGTTATATCGCAAGTATTGATATAAGCAACAAGGTATCTGAAGCCATGGGATGGTTGTGATCTATTTTTGGGTCTGCTACAAGACTGAAGTGTTGTCTGATAGTGTGTCACTGTACTGTAAAGTATAAAGCTTTATCCTGTCTGGCATATGAAAGTATGAACTGAGGTGCAAAACTAGGGGTAGTGGGGCAGCATTCCTAAAAAGAATACCAAAGGCCAAGCTATGTGTTTCTTGCTTTTATCGATTGAGCTATATAACTCTTAAAGCAGATGTCGTTTATTAAGCTACATAGCTCTGAACACAGATGTTGTTTTCTGTCATACATAGGACAGAAGCAGAGAAAGGGGTCATTGTTACAAGTCACTCATTGCTGGTAGGTGCTTGTTTCTCATGCTTTACTCAACCTTAAATAAATAATTAGAAAATGAAACCTCTTTTTAAGGCTTCACATTTCTATATATGTCATCCACAGTGGAAGAATGACAACGGCAGGAAATGGTTAGAAAGTTACTAGGGAAATTGATTTACTTTGTGGCTATATTTTGATGTTTGCCTTATGAGAAATTCTACTTGCTGATTCATGGAAGTCTCCAAGAAATATGAATGAACACACATGCATTAAATCCTATATATATATATAATTTGAAACGTTTCTGTTATGCAACCCTGGAGATGTTTGTCTGTTTCATTGCTCGCGAATGTGTAATCAAATATGTATACTGCTTAATATAGTTGTCACACATCAAGCATTTATTAGCACACATTATTACTCCATATGACATCGCAAACGTGGAGTAAAATTAAATTTTCCCTTCAAACTGAAACTATTGTTCTTGCTTTTGTTGAGGTGAAATTAAGAAGTTAAGCCTGCTTTTCTTCCAGGTCACTTTCAATGGATCGTTTGACCACATGAGTATTGATTCTACCAGGTAGAATTATTAATTACAATCTGGTATTTGCAATATAGAATATTGATCGACCAGTCTCTTGCATCACAAAGTTCCTTCTCAGCTATTATACATCTCTTTGGAACATATTCTAATGGCAATGGTTGGAAAATTGCTAAATATGGCTGCTATACTTGTTGTTTGATATCAGTGTTCAAAATCTTGAGATAATTGAGCCAATGCACACAAGCCTTTTGGGGACAAACAATAAGAAGAGAAGTCTATTTCAAATGCTTAAGACAACCAAAACTTTTGGAGGGTAAGCTAACTGCCAGACTAATGATCCACTTTGCATTTTACATTTTTATCTGGTTTCCCAATCCATTGTGCATGTTGGGCTTTGTGGAGGCTTGTTTGTCGGCCCGGCCCAGTTGTGCGTAGCCCTAGTTTTTCCCCCTATATATAGAGGGCTTGTACTTGTAATCTGTACCACAAGTGAAATAAGAAAATCCTCCTGTTTCAGCCGTAGATTAGGGAAACCTAACCACGTTAAATTCTTGTGTGTCGTTTGTGTTCCGTTTCTCTCGTTTCTCGCAGATTATTTGTGTGTGTTGTATGTTTAATTCTCAACAAGTGGTATCAGAGCTAGATTATTCAACACAAGCACAAATAGTGAGAAAATTGTCGCGGTTTTTCAGATCGTGCTGAGCCGCCGCCGGGTTGAGGAGTCGCCTCCTGTCGTCAAGGAATCACCGTCGCCGCCGCTGGTTGGAGGAAATTGTCAATCGGTGTTCTTCCAGATCAGATCGGGCAGGAGCATCGGCGCTGCAGTAGTTGAAGCTTCCATCGCTCAGCCGCGAGCCGTCACCGTCGATCCAGATTTGCCACCGCCGCGTCGAGCTCTCAGATCGCATCCATCAGCTCGGGCAGGTGCAGCGGGCAGTAGGTGTTGCTGCCACCCAGTCGAGAGCCTCCATTGTCCAGCGCGCAGAGTTCACCACCGCGAGCAGGTGTAGTCCGACCGCTCGCCGAGCCACCGCCGAAGTCCAGTGTTGGTTGCCGTCCAAATTGCACAGCCGCCAGAAGTGAAAAAAGGGGTTTTCCTTGGCTGGACCGAAGAAAAAAAAAGGAAAAAGTGAGTGGGCCGGGCAGTGGGCCAAATTAAGTATCATTTGGTCAGCCCCCATCCTTTTTTCCTTGTTTTTTGGTTTGATTGGGCTTTATTTGGAGAGATTTGGGCCTCTTTGATTTGGATTGTTGAGAAGTGTTCTTGTTCCTATTTTTCTGACGAAAAATACCAAGATTTGAAATTAGTTGTACTGGGTATCTCGTCTAGTCGTTTGAGATGGCAGAAGACGGGAAGTTCCGAATTGAGAAGTTCGATGGTACAGATTTCAGTTGGTGGAAGATGCAAATTGAAGATTTGCTGGTTCAGAAAGATTTGGACGTGGTTTTGGGTGATAAGCCAGAAAAGATGTCGGATGCAGATTGGGCAGGTTTGGATCGGAAAGCTATGTCCATGATCCGTCTCTCGTTGACCAAGAATGTTGCGTTCAACATTCTGAAGGAGAAGACAGCGAAGGGAATTATGGACGCGCTGTCTAACATGTACGAGAAGCCATCTGCAGCGAACAAAGTTTTTCTGATAAGAGAGCTGGTGAACACAAAAATGAAAGAAGGCACTTCAGTTACCGAGCATATCAACAAGTTGAATTCGATCTTAGCCAGACTATTGTCAGTGGGCATTAAGTTCGTTGATGAAGTTCAAGCTTTGCTACTGCTATCGTCTTTACCTAATAGTTGGTCCGGAACGGTTACAGCAGTTACCGGTTCAGTGGGACCCGATTGATTCACCTTTGATCAGATTCGAGATCTCGTTCTTGGCGAGGACGTCAGAAGAAAGAGTTCCGGGGAATCATCTGGTGAATTGCTTCATGTTGGTAGAGGCAGAAGAAATAGCAGAGGTAGTGGGAGCAGAAACAGACAAAGGAGTCAGTCGAAGACTCGTGACAGCTCAGGTGTAACGTGCTGGAAGTGCAAGGAGGTAGGGCATTTTAGGAATCAATGTCCGAATGATAAGAAAGTAAACATTGCTCAAGGCTCTACGAGTGACGAGGAGGTCGCTCTGACTTGCTGTGAGGAAAGCAATGTGGATTCCTGGGTCATGGATTCTGGTGCTTCATTTCATGCCACCCACAGCGGTGAAGCATTGCAGAATCTGGTTGTTGTGGACTTTGGAAAGGTACGACTAGCAGACGACAGAGCTCTTGAGGTGACGGGCATGGGTGACATGGTGTTGAAGACCTCAGTCGGTCTCTGGACTTTGAAGGATGTCAGAGTGGTTCCAGCCTTGAAGAAAAGTTTGATTTCTGTCAGGCAGTTGGACGAACAGGGACACGAGGTAAAGTTCAGAGATGGGCAGTGGAAGGTCGTGAAGGGAAATCTTGTCATAGCCCGTGGAAAGAAGAGAGGTTCGTTGTACATGGTCGGGTTACCATCTGAGGGAGTGACCGTCCCAGTTCAGAAGAGAAACAAAGTCCGGTTCACAGAGTCTCGTGGGCAGAATAAGGTTGTCTGTGCAAGAGAGAAACCTAGAGCCACTGGTCAGACTCAGGATGAACGAGCGTGGAAAGGTTTAAGGGGGCCAGTCAGAGGTATTTATGGCAGTGGGAGCTCAAGTCCGCGAAGTCGGTTCAACGGATCTTCTGTCACCCAGTCCTCTTGGTCATAAGGTCGACAACCTTGTAGAGGTCTTTTAAAGAACGACTCATACCTCTCACAAACAAGAGTCCTACAAGGTCCTAGGCCGTCACACGCAGACGTCACCCTCGGCCATCCCACCGAGGACGAGTCAGGGACAGACTTTGCCGTGACTGATGTGTTGGAGCTTGGGAGAGCTTCAACGGGCCTTTCAGTTGTCTGATGATAGCGCTGCAACAGAAGAGCTGAAGAAGATTACTCGATGTACAGGCGATCGTGGCGGATGGCAGTTGATGTTTATCAAGCCTCCAAGTGGGAGAATGTCGGGCTTTGTGGAGGCTTGTTTGTCGGCCCGGCCCAGTTGTGCGTAGCCCTAGTTTTTTCCCCTATATATAGAGGGCTTGTACTTGTAATCTGTACCACAAGTGAAATAAGAAAATCTTCCTGTTGCAGCCGTGGATTAGGGAAACCTAACCACGTTAAATTCTTGTGTGTCGTTTGTGTTCCGTTTCTCTCGTTTCTCGCAGATTATTTGTGTGTGTTGTGTGTTTAATTCTCAACAGTGCATTCTACTCTCCGTCTTCTATATCATTTTATGCTGCAATTTATTTTAGTATTATTTTCTGGCATATTTGCCGACACATCTTTAAACCTTGCACATGCAAAAGCTCTTGCACTGGGTTTCCATGCTCAAGGCATATTTGCATACAATAACAAAACAACCAAACCCAATAGGATCCCAACTCCATTGGAGTATTGGAGTCAAGATGTACACAACCTTACCCCTGTGAAAACAGAGAGGTTGTTGCTGTTAGACCCTTGGGGGTCATGGCATGTTTGCATATTTCTTAGATGAATTTAAATTTGATATATACTTATATTTCCTAATCTTATCCAATATAGAGTATATTAATAGAGCGACACAAAAATATTAATGCAAGCTTAACTGATACATGAAACAACTAATTAACCCTAGTGTAGTCAGTCTATCATGTTTATTACTATGAAGCTTGTTTTCCATTGAACTTACATCACATATTTACAAAAGAAACTGTTTGTTGTTCAATTTTTCTATATATCTTTCTCTATGTCTCTATTACTTGCTAAATTTGACCACATACGCATTACACCTAATGCATTTTGGTAATGTTTTTTTAATCAGTTACAACCAAAATACATAGACATTGGAAATGTAAAATGTCTCTGGCTAAGGATAACAGAGTATGTGATGTTTGCTCACAGTATCTCAAATTGATTAATTCTAATTGTCTGCAGGACTAGACTTCTTCGAGCAAATATGTTGCAGCCATTAAAAGACATTGAAACTATTAATGCTCGACTTAACTGCCTGGTCAGTGCTCTGATTGCTCATTAAGATGAGATTCATTGATATGCTTTAAGGTCGGGCATTCAATCCCTGAATCCCTGAGCTACTTGGGATGTGATCAATATGTTTTTAGGAGAACTGGATGAATTCACCATGAAAATAATGGGATTAAAATTTCAATTCCATGTAGATCACGCCCCTTCCCAAAATATTTATACTACGGGTATTTATAATTAAATGTAGAAATTTAAATAAGCAGAGTATATCAGTTTGGGATTGGTTACTTGTAGCATATGTCTAGATAAGGATAACATGCTAAAAATTCGGCTACTAAGCTATTAACTTCAAACTAACCAAATGAATAAAAAAACTAGGGCCTCACTGCTCTTGCTTAGTTGCTTCTTCGCTGAATAACAGCTTCTCTCATAAATTAAGACATTAAGTATCACTTTGTTAGCTTGTTTAATCATTAAGGCATCAAGTTTGCAACTTTTGGACTTATTGATCAATTGATGAAAACCTGTAATATGCCACAAGGTATGAATTTTGTACATAAAATTCAAACTTGGCATTTGATTAAACCTTGAGATGACTCTTGAAGCTAAATAATACTCCATCCGTCCCACTATTTTTGGGACATGGAGGCTGGCACAAAAATTATGAAAAGTAAGTTTGTGTGGTTGAGACAAAAATATAACTAAGTATGGAATGAGACAAACATAGTGGGATGGATAAAAAGGTAAAATGTGACAAAAAAATGGGACGGTGGGAGTAATACTTTAAAACCAACTAGATCATCCAGAATCACCCTGAATAAATGGAAACCGAACCCGTTTCATCTTATCCTACAATAAGAATCATGTTTGGAATCATAGCCATACTAGCCCGTCCCATCACATGCCAACTCCTGGCGCTAATATGATCCTTATTTCACCATTGAAATATGCCTGTTACATTGTCCATCCAGAGACTCTATACTGAATTTATGTGCCCTTATATGTTTTAATCTTTGGCAGTGCATCTGCTTCTAAGTTTTATCTGCCTTATCTAAACTGTTTGCTGAATTTAACTCTAGGATGAGTTGATGCGCAATGAGCAGCTGTTTTTTGGCTTGTCTCAAGCCCTTCGTAAGTTTCCAAAGGAAACAGGTAACTAACACAAAGTACCAGAGATTATACCTCTTTTGACACCCATGGGCCATGGCCTGTTTTTTTCCTATGGCTGATACAAGAGAACTATTGTAATGCACATAGATAGGGTCCTTTGCCACTTTTGCTTTAAACCAATAAAGGTCACAAATGAAGTGGCCAGTGAAAATGCACAGAGAAGCCAAAAATTGATATCAAGTATTATTCTTCTCAAAACAGCTCTGGATGCCTTGCCACTACTCTCCAAGGTGTATGCTTATTCTTTATTAAAGTAGTCATTATGTTGAATTTTGTCATTCCTGGTATAATTGGGTCTTTAAATTTCTTATGACTAGGTTCTAAAAGATGCCAAGAGTTTTTTGCTCATAAATGTTTACAAATCCACATGTGAAAACGAGAAATATGCATCCATAAGGAAAAGGTACACTAAAAAACAATCCTTGCCTTCACTGCTCTGTCAACTCCAGTATCATATTCTTCAATTTCTATAATCTCTTTGTTCTTAAAATGCCTAATGAATGAGGAGTGAAGTGGCCCCAAGCCCTTCTTCCTTAAGATTGTTTTCTTGGTTTTATTAAATGACAGAAATGAAATCTTGTGTGTCTGTATGTGTGTGCGTGTGTTATACTTGCTATTCATGTCAAAGGAGAAAGGATGTTAAACTTACTGTGCTTTTAGTTCAGAGTCTTACTATATCAGTCATGTCTACTGTCTAGTTCTCTTCTATTTATCACATTAAGATATAATTTTCTAATTCCTGAACTAAAATATATATTCTTATAAATTTATATCTAATGTATACTTTAATACCCATTCTTGATCCACTTACTCTCAGACCAGCATGGTCCAACAGATGCTGATATTCCTGAGATGCAAAAACTTATTGATTTCATTACAATGATGAAGCTAATGCTATTAATGCACTTAAAGAGTACAACCCTATAATCTATTATAGAAAAGTTATCTTGAAAAACACAATTAATTATGCATGATACACTGGATTCAGACCAAGCTTGTTCTTATAGAATTGGGGAGGTGATTGGCGAAGATGTACTTCATACACGGGTTCCCTTTATTGCACGGACACAGCAATGCTTTGCTGTCAAGGCTGGAGTTGATGGGTTTCTTGACATGGCTCGAAGATCTTTCTGTGAAACAAGTGAAGGTTTGCTATTGTGTTTTCATTTTGTTTCTCTGGTGTGCCATTCCTAGAGCTGGATCTGATGTGTGTTGGATCTACAGCCATTCACAACCTTGCGAATAAGTACCGTGAAGATTTTAAACTACCAAATTTGAAACTCCCATTCAATAACAGGAAAGGGTTTTACTTTAGCATTCCACAAAAGAGTATACAGGGAAAACTTCCAAACAAGTTTATACAGGTTGGAATGCTTCATCTAACTGTGGAACTATGCATAGATTTGTTGCTCTCTCTTTTTTTATATTAATGTTTTGCAACTTTTCAGGTTATAAAACATGGTAACAACATACATTGCTCTAGTCTGGAGCTTGCTTCAGTGAGAATCATTTCCACTTTCTTTCTTAATGAGATGACCCCATTTTAGCTCGTATATTTATTGTATCTATATTTGACCGACGGATGGTTCACCGTGTAGTCTTTATCTGTGCATGTGATATGTGCAATATCAGGACACAAACCCTCGAAAAATCATTATCAGTTTGCCAAATCATGTATAGGCTTATGGCATAAAGCACACTTTATACATATATGTATAGGGATCTTTCATCTTGAATCACTGTGTAATTCTCCCTCCGCCCACTGTTTTTGTTCCATTCACTATTGGCAGGGTCAAACTAAATATACTTTCTTTATGTATTTTAATCTATCATTTGTTAAAAAAATATATTCATGTCACCTCTTCTTTTGTAGAGGCAATAATTTGTCTATGTATGTAAGTACACTCCGGTTCAAGTCATGCAAACTTGGGTAAGGGGTCAAGTGTCGTCCGTTGCCACACCAAGTGTTTTCCATTTTAACATTGGGTATGGGGTCAAGTCATGCAAAGTTGGACATTATTCTTCTTTAGGAAAAGTATATTTTTATGCTTCTAAACTTGGTGTCTTAGCCCTATTCAGCCCCTAAACTTTTAACTGGATATGTCTAGAGTAAACTTAGATCCTCCATGAAAAATATATATTCTGCAGACCGCAATAACATGGTTTAAATAACTTACCACTGTTTTGCTTAACATGCCGATTAGAAGCCTTTGTGCCTAATGGGGCCGATAAACTGAATTTATTTGATATATAGAACCTGATGTGGATTGCATGCATGGTGAAAAATTACATGTAACTACATGATAACCGGAGAGAATTGAAGACGAGGCTTAACAAGCTGAAGTTCGAGTTAAAAGTTGACGTGTTCAATGAAGACTAAAATGTCAAGTTTAGGGGCTTAGAAGAATCCCCCACCCGAACCATTCTTAAGACCACCAAGCTCTCTCGAATGAGTTCTACTCTTTCTGCTTTCGAGATACACCAGGGGCTAAATCTTTTCCCCACTAAGACGTGAAACCTTCTGGCTAGATCGTCCTGAAGACGGATGCGACGGGAATAAGTGGCATTTGGAAGTGTTGCTGACTTCACATTTAGGTTTCGACATAACAAAGCTTGCACTGTCTTTTCGCACTTAGGCGCACAGCGTGCCATTGGTAATGATTCGACTACGGTGCCACCAATTCGCAAGCTGTTCCTAAGTAATCGTTGTTGTTCATTGGATTCCGGAAGAACTACTTCGTTAGGATTGGGGAATTGCTGCGATTCTTCCTGAATAGCCTGGATTCTCTCGTCGAGAGTCACTTTGAAAGTATTACCTAAACTCTTCCGACTGAATATGATAAAGCCTATAAAACAACGAGCTACTATCATTTCTTCATTATAAATTAATATTTTCTTCGAACTTGATGCACAAATAGATAAAATAGCAGCAAATAGCATCTTTCTAGCCTGCGAACTCNATTTGGAAGTGTTGCTGACTTCACATTTAGGTTTCGACATAACAAAGCTTGCACTGTCTTTTCGCACTTAGGCGCACAGCTTGCACTGTCTTTTCCAACTTTTGTATACCACAACCTAGTAATGTTTCACAAGTGGGGTTTGGAAAGGATGGAGACCTTACCGGTACCTATAAAGGTAGGAATGCTGATCTTATTTGATCATTGGTACTTACCTGGTTTGTTATTGTAATTAAATATACAATATTTATATGAAAATAAAATAACCAAGCTTTCAACTCTTTCTGATGTTTGTTTTTTATATATAACCATGAATACAACACAGGGGTCAAAATTGTTATTTCCTGCCTCATCACTTCTTACATATTTGTATGGCGATATGGATTTGAGAGAGCATTGATTTGTCTTCTTTCATTGCTTAATATGCAGTTGAATATGCGGAACAAGTCTGCAGCTAAAGAATGTTATTTAAGGACTGAAGTTTGTCTGGAAGGTAATGCTATCTGCCCACTTGATGACACTACAGAAAGTACTGTCTTCTTCATCCTTTTCAAATGACTGTTATGCTCTGGGTAATTATTAAAAAGGTATTTCCTCCTGTATCAATATGCAGCACTCATGGATGCTATACGGCAGGATGTTTCGGTGCTCACACTTCTTTCTGAAGTTCTATGCCTTTTAGACATGATAGTTAACTCATTTGCTCATATGATTTCAACGAAACCTGTTGATCGATATGTTAGACCTCAATTCACTTGTAAGTATTATGGTAAGGTACTTAAATATTTGTTGTGTAGCCTGCGCCGGTACATGGTTTTATCCTTATATTGTGAAATGTTATTCATTTAGAGCACAACAATTTATTTAATGTCCACTTAAGTTATTGTTAAATTATACTCCGTATTCAACACCATTTCCTGTTTATACGTAGCATTTTGTTAACCACTACATCACCCAATTTGTCCCACAAGAATCTTGAATTGGCACACCCTCTTTGAATCTTGTTTAAAATCAATAGTAAGCCCCCAAAAAATGAGAGCAAGGAATTGTGTTGTGGTAAGGGAACTCTCTCCCAAGACGCTGACCTCACGTAGGTTAAGTCTTTGATTGAACTCATATCATCAATCAAGCTTCTCCCTTTAGTAATCCCCTTTCCTTGTGCTTGCCCCTTTTCTATTTAAAAGCGTGTGTACAATCTCTTCCCCTTTACTGCTTTAGAAGGACTTTCATTTCTACCTCGCAAAATTATGTTATTAGAGGAATCCATGTATCCATAAACCATCACCACCAATAACCACACCCAAAAAATTTTGTTCTTAAGATTCATCTCAATATTATTCTGTCTTGTATAAACTAATATTATCATTTTTTATCGTGGACAATGACCAGCACCAATCTAAGATAGTTTGAGGCTTTGATTAATGGCAGCAATGTAGCAGATTCTAGATTCTAGTGCCAAAGCAGATCTGATGAAAACAATATAAAATTATGAATAACTGCACGGGGAATATTTCTAAGACAAACCGGAGAGGGTCTTTTTTTTTGTTCTATGGGCTCTTAGGTGCGACATCATACTGATAAACATAGCACAATTATTCTTATCCATAAACCAGTTTGGGGTGTATATGGGTTGAGATTTCCAATGTAGTGAGTTAGGAATCTGTTAAGGATGAATTTGTAACTACGCTTGTTGATTGAATGACAAAACTACATTGGGGTTTAAATGAATGAATACGCATGAAAGCGGGCCAAACATCTTATTTTTCTGACTATTTGCTTGTAGATGATGGTCCATTAGCAATTGATTCTGGAAGACACCCCATTCTAGAAAGCATTCACAACGATTTCATCGTAATCTATCTCTCTTCTTCATTTCAATGGCCTGCTTGAGTTTTTTTGCTTTTGTGAACCAGAATACGAAATGACTGTGTTTCTCTTTTACAGCCGAATAATATATATCTATCTGAAGCATCAAATATGGTAATTGTGATGGGGCCTAACATGTAAGCAATCCTACTATTGTAATGTATATTAATTGGCATGACAACATTAAACAACATGTGATATGGTGTGTTAAACCATCAGATGGATCTTGCTTAAAGTATCTTATTCATGAATTAGTCATGGCACATTTTTGTCCAGATCGTAATTCTATGATGTTTTCACAGGAGCGGGAAAAGTACATACCTACAACAAGTATGTCTGATTGTCATTCTTGCTCAAATTGGATGCTACGTACCAGCCCGCTTTGCCAATTTGAGGGTCACCGATCGTATTTTCACACGGATGGGAACTGTTGACTGTCTTGAACATAACTCTAGCACAGTAAGAGCTTCTAGAATTAAAAATCTTGCTCCTATTTTGCATCTCTGTTTCTTTTATTTCTTAACCATATAGAAACCTTTGTTTCACTTGTATCTATGCATGAGGGTTATACTTGTTGGGAGGTTAATAGTATACCCATGTTTAGGGGAATAATGGCAGTGCCAAATTACTGGAAATTCTGCAATATTTTACAACTCCATAATATTTACCTTTGGTTTAGAAACTAGGGGGAGAGGAGAAGAATGGGGAGAGGGAAGGAAAACGGAAGAGTTCCCAAAGATGTTACGCATGCTCCAATCGAGGAAACGGAAGAAATCTATTTTGGAAAATATAAATATTTCATTTGATAATTTTTTTAATAAAAAATATAATGCTCTAAATATAACAAGAAATACAATTCCTCCGAAATGCCCCAAATTAAGTGGGTGAGATACTAGGAGTTTGGAGGAGTCTAGAGCTTCTCCCTATTCCTTATAACTGTCCCAACCGAACACAGAACACTCCACTTCCCCTTCCCTCCAAAGCCCTCCTACTAAACAATGCCTTAGAGTGAACCAACATAAGAAGTTTTAAAAAATCGGTGTGCAATTTGAAGTAGCTGACGAAGAAGGGCCAGCTATGTGGATTCTCTTATACTCCGTACTTGTTAATCCTAAGATATCCATATATAAATATAATGAAAGTGTTTCATGTGAATTTGTCTATGCAGTTCATGACAGAGATGAAAGAGACCGCTTTCATAATGCAAAACATCTCCCACAGGTGATGATCCCCGCCGACCACTACAATAAACGTACAAGAGTTTTTTTATTTATTGGAATGGTAAATCACTTAAGAGTTGCCACTGGATTGACTGGAATACAGAAGTCTTGTTGTGATGGATGAGTTGGGGAGGGCAACTTCTTCATCTGATGGATTTGCAATGGCTTGGAGCTGTTGCGAGCAGTTATTGGCGCTAAAAGCGTAATTTCTCGATTCCTATAACTATATATGAAAGCGTCAAGCGTTAAGTGAATTATCGTGATCATTAATACCTATTATTTCAAAACGACTCTGTCCCATTTTGTTTTCAGGTATACTATATTTGCTACCCATATGGAGAATCTTTCAGAGCTTGCCACCCTTTACCCAAATGTGAAAATGCTTCATTTTTATGTTGAGGTGAAAAACAACCGAATGGATTTCAAGGTGGGTGTCAAACTTTGCGCCTTTTTTTCCCCTTCTTCTGTTGGCCATCTTATATCTGTGTATTTGTGTAGTTACAATACTCAAAGTATTGCTTCTTTTTATGCTTTTTAGTTTCAACTGAAAGATGGACAATCTCATGTCCCACATTATGGACTGATGCTAGCAGGGGTGGCTGGGTTGCCAAGTTCAGTAATTGAAACTGCCAAAAGAATTACATCAACAATCACACAAAAGGTGATCTCTATCTCTCTACTTGTACTCTGTCATTTTTTAACCTGAAAAGGTACTCTCAACCATTTTTATTGAAGGTTAAAAGTAGGACTTACAAAAAACAATCCATTTATTAATTATCCATCCAGTAATTCCAGTAATAATAATAATACTCCGTCCCTAAATAAACTTCTCCTTTCGTTTTTTCTTTGTCCCCAAATAAACTTTTCTTTTCACTTAAAAAACCCCTTTTACCCCTTACTTTTTCATACTCTACCTATCACATCATACCTTTTTACTAATAATCTACATATCACATCTTACTTTTACACATCACATCAAAGGTATTTTTGAAAAGTCAATACAAAAATATCCCTCCCTTAAATTCTCAAAAAGTCAAAAAGAGAAGTTTATTTAGGGACGGAGGGAGTAGTACATATTGTTTAAACATTATTTTACATATTATTTAAACATTCTTCTCCGCACGAAAATCACTATGAGAATAGATAGACATTAGTAAATGGATTAGATACAATTGTAAATGGATTTGGCTTTCAAAATTAGAAATAAGAAAGAAAGAAAGAAAAGAATGCATATAATTTACTACGTAAATAATAAGTCGTCCCCAAATAAAAAGTAAACAAAAATAGAAAGCGTATGAATTTTTCCCTTATTCAGTTTTTCTCGTTTGCAACAGAAAACAAAGAGAATGGAGGTGAACAGCCAGCAATGCAGTGACATTCAATTGGTCTACCGTGTTGCGCAGCGACTGATATGCTTGAAGTATTCCAACCAAGATGAGATTTCTTTGAGAGAATCTTTACAGAGTCTCAAGGAGAGCTACATAAGGGGAAGTGCTTAGAAACCAGTTGTATTTAAATCCATCTCAAATTCTGTTTCCAGCATTGTGATGATGAAAATTGAAAGGTCCACATTTTCCCATCCATTCCCCGAAAACATGCTAGGAGATGTCACCAATATGAATCTAAGGTAAGATGAAAATAAGGTAATCTGCAAGAAAAATATTTGAGGCAAAAGATAGAACCAATGTTATGAACAAAGATGGAACAAAAATAGATAAAAATAGCAGTACCTAAATTTAACAACCTTAGGTAAAGTAAACAATAAACTTATATCCCATAAATAGATCAAAAAAGTATAACATTACGAATCCAATGAAGTTTTTTTTTACGGTCAATCCAATGAGGAAATAGTAGTACTAATGTAGCCTTTCCTTTGTTGTGCAACTTCGCTCCGAAGAAGATGTGTCATATTGCTTCGTTGTAGGAACAATGCACTAATTATTGTCGAAACACAATAGCACAACATATTGCAGTATCCATTAATTGTTGCAAGAAAATCATGATGGTATAAAAATGTTAAGAGTATACGAGGGTGATATTTTTTAAAACACCTATGCCATAATAACAGTGCTAAAATTTGAAATCAGCAAAACAGCTAGGCTCTTGAAATGAAGCTTGAACAAGTGTAAACTAAACATGGCCAAGAAGAGATGTTAATGTAGCATACAATGTCACATATCCTGAAATCGAACCATATACAGAGTAGTATTCGTTATTGTACTCTCTCCATGCAAGATAGATTTAGGTTTGGCACAACATTTAATAAAATAAAAGAGCTTTTTTTAAAATTAAACCTACAAAAGAGATTCCTTAAACACCATGGAATCAAACAGTACACTTCATTTTGGGAAGAGGACAATGTATTCAAAGTTTCAAACTAATTTGTTGGTTTCTTCTCCATACTAAATTAACACCTTCAACATGCTTGGAACACTTTTAGAATAAAAACCATAAAATACGACAAAAATTACGAGTAACTTCTATCATTCCCATAAAGAGGGATCAGAGTAGTATGTAATCATCAAATGCAATTTAAAGAAACGCAATGAAACTAAGGAATGAATCTTTACCCGTTCGGGTTTTTTTTTTCGTTCTAAGCACGGGAAGGAATCATCCCTGTCTTCCTTGCATATGCGAAAATCCCACCCGCATCAATCACCGGCCCAGCATCTCCAATGGGTTTCAGCTTGTATTCCTTCCCAGTAGTATGGTTGATCAACTTGCTTTCTCCAAGCTCAACAGTTACTGCATCGCCCGTCTTACACTCCTCGCAGATCCTCACATCGCATTCCAGAGGATAAATCTCTCCCGTAGACACCGAGTTCCGGAAGAATATCCGGGCGTAGGACTCGGCCACCACGGCAGAGACCCCGGCGGCGCCTAGGGCTACGGGGGCGTGTTCGCGGGAGGATCCGCACCCGAAATTGTCTCCTCCGATTACGATTGAGTACTTGGACTTGAATTCGCCCGGATCTATGAATCGGGTCGGGTAGGACGCCGGGAGGCCGCACAGGGCGTAGGACCCGAGCTTTTCGTACTCCTCCGGCTTCGACGGGACTAGGGTCAGGTACTCGGCGGGAATGGTCTGGTCAGTGTCGATGTTGTCGCCGACGACGTAGCAGAGGCCGTGGAAGGTGGTGGTTGAGACCGCGGCGGCGGCGGGGGGAGCGGAACGGGGAGGAGGGACCAGTGTGCGAGAGTTGGAGGGAGTGTAGCGGGAAATTAGGGATTCGGAGGGGCGTACCCTGGTGTACGAAGAGAGATTGACGGAAGAGAAGTGGGGAAGAAGGGTAACCTTGGGTTGGCGGGAGGGTAGCTTGAAAGCGACGGCGCCGTAGAAGGAGGTTGAAGCAGCCATAGATGGAAGCTGCGATCGACCCAAATGACAAGAATTTAGGAGCAATTACCACTCAGCAAATAAATTGGTGATGAACTTCTTGAGGAATAAAAGTAGGGATGCACCATAATAGTAAACTCTATTTGTACATCGCACAAATACATACAAATCATAATCATATTGTGATTTCAAATATTTAGTATTTGTATTTGTTTGGTATATAAATAAGGAACACAGTTTTAGTAAACCTCTATAAAATAGATATGTACTCTAGGACATGTCTATTTTTGGGAGTCTCTAGCACGGGTGGGCAATAATAGAGTTCTTCACTTTCTCTATAAAATAGACATGTACTCTAAGACTACCGAGGAAAAATCACTACCCAAAATATTCTCATCTTTGTATCGCTTTGTTTTGTTTATAATAATAAAATTTGCTTTGTTTTGTTTATAATAATAAAATTTTATTATGAATTTGTTTAAAACTGCTGTAAAATTAAACTGGACTGATATATAAAAATTTATCATGTTCTTTTTCAAATGTATTCTTTCACATAAAATAGTTTCCAACTTTTTCCAAATTCTTTCTAACTTCTTCTTATCTTTCTAACTAATTCAATTTTTTGAAACATTCAATTTTGTTTTTGTAATCCAAATAAATAAATCAACATAGTAAACATACAATTTAAAGAGAAAGCTAGGAGTATGCAGGAAAAGAGACTCAATCCCTTCTTCACGGTCGATTAACATAAATATGTGAGGGATTAAACTATTTGTACCCCAAATTTAAACCCCATTTTATATCTTAAAGACATACACTGATATTTTCTACTAATGTGATGCTAGTGTGATGGCTCACATTGACAAAAATATCAGTACAAATTTTTTTAATTAAACCAATATTTTGTATCAGTATAAATTGTTAAAATGTTGATGCATTTTTTAAACTTAAAATACGGAGTACAATTTTTGGTATAACCCTAACATAGTTCATATGTGAACCAACGGAAAATTTCCTTTTTTGCGTTAAAATATTAGTACTAAAAAAAGAAAGAAATGTAGAAGTCTGCCTCAGTCAAAGAATCATTTTTCTTTTCCTGCCCATCACACATCTATACTTCCTAGCTAGTTCCTTCGTACCAATTCTCCGTACAAAACAAAATAAATGTTAAATTTAAAAAGATTTACATAGAAATGAAAAAAATACTTCCTCCGTCCACAAATAAACTTTACGTTGCGCGTTACGATGTTTGACTGAAGCTATTTTCAAATCATTTTATATGAAAAATGGTGTAGAATTGAAAAATAAAAATTACATATTAAAAAACTATATCAAAAGATCTACAAAACTAGAGGTGACATGACTATATTATTTTATCAAATGAGTGACGAAAATAGGCCAACAAAGTGCATAAAGTTTGACCCTGTGAATAGTGAACGTAAAGTTTATTTGTGGACGGAAGGAGTATCAAACTTAAAAATTATGTATATAAAAAGTTATGTAAACTTTTTATGAAATTACAGAGTGCTTCTTTGGTACACATTGGGTGCATACCATTTTTGTAGACTTTTCAAATAAAAAGCTTTTCTTTTTTTAAGAAAAGAAAATGGTATTTACTTAAGGAGTAAGGAAATACTTATTTTATTCATATGTAGGTTCATGGTGGACTTAAGATCCACCAAAGTATTTTCCAAAATCAAAAGTGAAAAATATATTTTATCACCCAAAATAAGATTCATATGTAGGTTCATGGTGGACTTAAGGTCCACCAAAATAGGACTACGGAAGAAAAACCACTGCATCTTAATAAGATTCAGTTGTCTCGGCTCCACCCAAAATATCCTCATCTTTGTATCACTTTCTTTTGTTTGTAATGATAAAATGTTATTATGAACTTGTTCAAAACTCTTGTAAAATTAAACCGGACTAAGACATAAATATTTATCTGTTCATTTTCAAATGTATTCTTTCAAATAAAATAGTTTCCAACTTTTTCCAAATTCTTTCTAACTAATTCCAATTTTTTGTAACATTCAATTTTGTTTTTGTAATCCAAATAAAGCTAGGAGTACGCATGAAAAGAGACTCAATGTCGATTAACATAAATATGTGAAGGATTAAATTATTTGTACACCAAAATTTGAACCCCATTTTATACTCGAAAAGCATACACTGACATTTTGTGTTAGTGTGATGGTTCACATTGATAAAAAATATCAGCATAATTTTTTTTAATTAAACTAATATTTTGTGTCAGTATGAACTGTTAAAATGTCGGCTGTTAAAGGAAAGAGAATATTTGGTAGAATATTTGGAGATATTTGTGTATATATTGTTTTGGTAGTTTTCCTTGTATAGGGATTCTTTCCTTTTTCTTTTCCTTTACTTATTAGGAGTTTCAACTTGTGAGATCCTATATATATGTTCTCATTGTAAATTGTAAAGACAAGAGAGAAATACAGAGAATTTCCTCCCAAATAATTCTTTCATGGTATCGGAGCCAAAATCCTAGAGATTTTCAGCGACTACTGTTCACAATCGCCCGACATGGCGTCCATCGATCGTTGCTCAGTTTCAGTCGTTTGTTGTTGTTGCCGGACAACGGAACGGTCAACCGTTGCTCTTGAACGGTCGAGCACGTCGACCGTCCCGTCGGCAGATTGTGTGATAGATGCTGCTGTTGATTCTTCCGCCACCGCCGTACGCCACTCTGCTACCGCCATGGCCGATGAACAACCAAGGAAGATGTTGTTCTCCCTATCATCGTGTGTTTCTAGTATGAAGCTTTGAGGTATTCCTGTGTCGCCGCGTTGGATTATAGATACTGGGGCATCAAATCATATGACTGGTGATATTTCGTTATTGCATGATGTCGTGGGAATATCACCATGTGAGATTGGTTTGCCCAATGGGAAAAGAATTGTTTCTGTACAATCTGGGAAGATTAAATTAACAGAAACATTAATTCTGCATGATGTTCTATATGTTCCCACTTTGAGTTGCCATTTAATCTCTGTGTCACAATTGACGAGGGATTCGAATTGTGAAGCACGTTTTGCCAACGATAGGTGTATACTACAAGATCTGTGTTTAAAAACAGAAATTGGTATGGGTGAGCAGGAAGGAGGACTTTATTACTTCAAGGAGCCTGAAAAGAATATGGTGTGCAATGCGAAGAAGGAGAGTAAGTTTGATCTTTGGCACAAACGACTTGGACATCCCTCCTCGCATGTTTTGTCTCTTGTTCCTGAAGTCGGAACAAGTAAAAGCAGTCATAGTTGTTGTGATATTTGTTTGCGTGCTAAACAGACTCGTGGAAGCTTTCCTATAAGTTTTTATCAATCTATTGATAAATTTGATATGCTACACTGTGATTTATGGGGACCATATCGGACTCCAAGTTTTGATGGTTCTACAATGTTCTTGACCATTGTGGATCATTTTTCAAGAGGTGTTTGGGTACATTTGCTTGATTCCAAACGTATGGTTGGCGCTGTGTTTAAACAATTTTGTGCTATGGTAGAACGACAGTTTGGGAAGAAAATAAAGTGTGTTCGCAGTGATAATGGCACAGAATTTGAATGTCTAAACGAAGATTTCCGGGAGCAAGGAATTATTCATGAGACGTCTTGTGTGTCTACTCCACAACAGAATGGGAGAGTAGAACGCAAGCACCGGCACATTTTGAATGTGGGTCGGGCTTTGAGGTTTCAGGCTAGTCTTCCGATTGAGTTCTGGGGAGAGTGTATACAGACCGCCGCACATCTGATCAATCGCACACCTTCGTATTTGCTAGGGGGGTCACACCATACGAGAAGATCTATGAAAACCACCCTCTTTGGCTCATATTCGCGTTTTTGGATGCAGATGTTATGCTCATAACTTGAAGAGGAATGGAGATAAATTCGCACCAAGAAGCAATCCTGGAATATTTGTTGGATATCCACAAGGGAAGAAGGGATGGCGTATCTACTTCCTGGACACTGGGGAAATTAAGGTGTCCCGGGACGTTGTGTTCTGTGAAGATATTTTCCCTTTCTTGACTCCTACAGGTGCATCTCTTGATACATGAAGTACAAATGAGGTTAGCTCTTATGATGAATATGAAGAAACGCGGACGGAAGAACAGATGGATCGTTCCAAGAGGGACGGTGGACCAGAGGAAAGCGGTAGAGCAGACAGGCTACAGACGGTCGACCGTCCGAGAGGCAGAATGACGGGTTCCTGAGAGATGACCAAACGGTCGACCAAGTGGACCGTTCTGATATCCACGGTCGACCGTTCGCGAGGCAGAATGACTTTTCTTTGGGAGATGATCAAACGGTCGACCGTCTCAGAGGTAGAAAGTTAGCGATCCGGAACAGCTTCAGACGGTCGACCCCGTGGACCGTTTCACGGACGGCGGTCGACCGTCCTCTTCCCAGCAGGCGGTGGAGAACTTGGGACGTGGTCAACGTGAGAAACGTCCAAATGTACACCTTGCCGATTACTTTACTCATGCAGCTGGTTCACATGTTGGTGAAAAATGCATATATCCTCTTGCCTCGTATGTCACACACGAGAAGTTCTTTGATAGACACAAGTGTTTTCCCAGCGCACTTGATGCTGGAGTTGAGCCCACAAGTTTCAAGAAGGCATTCCAGGATGAACGGTGGAGGAAGGCTATGAGAGAGGAGATTGATGCACTGGAGGCTAATGGGACATGGTCTCTTGTCTCTCCTCCACGCCATAAAAAGCCCCTTGGTTGCAAATGGGTATATAAGATCAACCGCAAGTCCGATGGAAGTGTGGAGAGATATAAGGCCAGACTTGTTATACTTGGCAATCATCAGGTTGAAGGACTTGACTACAAAGAAACTTTTGCTCCTGTAGTCAAGTTGACCACTGTGAGAACGCTTTTAGCAATTGCAGCAGTTAAGGGGTGGGAATTGCATCAGATGGATGTTCACAATGCATTTCTACACGGAGATCTTCAGGATGAGGTGTATATGAGATTGCCACCTGGTTTCTCGAATTCGTTTAATGTGGTGTGCAAACTCAAGAAGTCTTTGTATGGCTTAAAGCAAGCTCCAAGGTGTTGGTTTGCCAAGTTGTCTGGAGCCTTAAAACGCTATGGGTTTGTTCAATCTGTTGCTGATTACTCCTTATTTTCTTTTGTTGCAAAGAAAGGAGTCATACATGTTTTGGTTTATGTTGACGATTTGATTATTGCTGGAGATAATACAGAGATGGTAAGCAAGTTCAAAGCCTATCTTGGAGATTGTTTTCATATGAAGGACTTGGGAACACTGAAATACTTTCTTGGCATTGAGGTGGCGAGGAGCACGTCTGGGATTTTTCTCTGCCAACGAAAGTATGCCTTAGACATCATCACTGAGGCGGGGTTGTTAGGTGCCAAGCCGTTGGGTGCCCCGATGGAGCCAAACCATCACTTGGCTCGTTCCCAAGCCTCGGTCCTTGCAGATCCAGAACCATATCGACGGTTGGTAGGAAGGTTGGTCTATCTCTTTGTTACACGACCGGAACTTTCTTACGCCGTCCACACTTTAACACAGTTTTTGAAGGAACCAAGGAAGGATCAGTGGTCTGCGGCCCTTAGAGTCGTTCGTTATTTGAAAGGATGTCCAGGTCAGGGCATTTTTCTGTCAGCAGAGAGTAGTCTTCAACTCACAGGATGGTGTGATTCGGACTGGGCAACATGTCCTTTGACGAGGCGGTCATTGACAGGGTGGTTTGTGCAGCTTGGAGACTCACCTGTCTCATGGAAAACAAAGAAGCAATCGACAGTGGCTCGCTCGTCTGCTGAAGCAGAGTATAGAGCTTTGGTTGTCCTTACATGTGAGTTGAAGTGGTTGAAGAATGTTTTGCGGTGTTTAGGGGTTGAGCATAAGGACCCCATGACGGTCCAGTGTGACAGCACGGCAGCACTTCACATTGCTGCTAATCTGGTTTTCCACGAACGCACGAAGCACATTGAGATTGATTGTCACTTCGTTCGTGATGAGCTCTTGCGAGGAGAGATTCGTACACTTCATGTGCCTACTACGCATCAGCTTGCAGACATTCATACAAAGGCACTCGGAAAGTCACGTTTGGAGTTTCTTCTTCCCAAGTTGGGCATTTCGTTACTACATGCTCCAACTTGAGGGGGGTGTTAAAGGAAAGAGAATATTTGGTAGAATATTTGGAGATATTTGTGTATATATTGTTTTGGTAGTTTTCCTTGTATAGGGATTCTTTCCTTTTTCTTTTCCTTTACTTATTAGTAGTCTCAACTTGTGAGATCCTATATATATGTCCTCATTGTAAATTGTAAAGACAAAAGAGAAATACAGAGAATTTCCTTCCAAATAATTCTTTCATCGGCGTATTTCATTGAAGTTCAACTTGAAATACACTATTTGGTATAACCCTAACATTGTTGATACGTGAACCAAAGGAAAATTTCCTTTTTTGCGTTCAAATATTAGTACTAAAAAAAGAAAGAAATGCAGAAGTCTGCCTTAGTCAAAGAATCATTTTTCTTTTCCTGCCCATCACACATCTATACTTCCTAGCTAGTTCCTTCGTACCAATTCTCGTACTCTCTCTCTCATAAAGCAAAATAAATGTTAAATATAAAAAAATTTAAAATTTTTTTATAAAATTACAGGGTGCTTCTTTGGTGCACCTTGAATACATATCATTTTTGTGGACCTTCTCGTATAAAAAGTTTATCTTTTTTTATTAAACGAAAACGGATACTTATTTAAATAGTAAGGAACAACTTATTTTATTCATATGTAGGTTTATGGTGGACCTAAGGTCCACCAAAATATTTTCCAAAATCAAAAGTGAAAAATATATTTTATTATATCAAATAATTACTGGAAACGTATAAATATATACTCCCTTTGTCCCAAATCATTTGCCCCATTTGCTTTTTCAACAGTCGCAGGAACTTTTGTTTATTTCTACATTTTCATTGGTTATTTGATAAAATAAAATATTCTTGGCACCTCTTATTTCGAAGAACTTTTCATGTAGTTTTTTTGATATGTAATTTTTATTTTTTATTTTTTTACCAATATGTAAATAAAATAAATTGATAAAACTTGATATTTTGCCTCAGGAATATAAATGTGGCAAATAATTTGGGATGGATGGAGTATTAAAATTCTAATCATTTTTGAAGAGTGAAAATGTTAAGATATTTTGGGCGGTGAGAGCATTTTTTATTGTGCACGTGTAAGAGTTATATATTCAAATGGAATGGTTGTGATTTTTTCCAATTGAATTCAAAATGAAGAAAACATCATGATCATAATTCAATGGGTGTGTCTACGTTTTAAACTTTTATTTAGCCATGTACATCGATATTAGGATAATTTTGTACAAAATTTCTATTATGTTACCACTTCTAAAGAATAAAAGCTTCACAAATATTTTAGTATTAGGAAACATTTTAATTTTTTACAATGAATTATGGTTAATCTTTCACATATAATTTTAATACAAATTTTATTGGGAAAAATACTTATTCTTTATGAAAAATAAAGACTTGGCACACGCTTCAGTACGAAGTGACTATTTAATTCTTTAAATAAAAGCAAGAGTAATTTATTATTATTAAAAAAGTTTGACTAATAAAAGTAGAAAAAATAACTTATTATTATTTGAAAAAATAAATCTGCGTGAACTATGACTTAATTGTATGAAAAAGGTAAGTTCCTTACATGCATTTATAACAAACGATAAAGTTAACGAAAGGATCAACTATACCATGGTAATGTGACTTGAAGTAATTTTCGTATAATTTTTAGAGTTAAACGATACATTAAGTTGAAAGACTAACAATGCAATTTAGCTTAAATATATAATGTGAACCAAAGGAAATTTTTCCTTGAATTTCTTGTGTTCAAATGAATTGAAACAAAGTACGTGTAAAAAGAAAGAAGTACGTAGAGTATTTGTCTCAATGCATGGGCGTGCCTCAAA